TAAAAGGCGGAATTGACGTCCAGGGGGATTTCTGGCAAGTCATTAAAAAAAGATTGCGTTTCTTTGGCGTTTTTGTAGAAAAACAACTTTCAGGGGGACCTTGGTTCTTACTTCTGAAATATGGCAACCCTATCTATAACACTTGTCAGATCCTATCCCAGCACCTTCAGATTTGCACACAAACACCCGACTAGATCTGTACTCCAGGATTAACATAGGGGATTGGCATTAGACATCTGACTATACTCTGGAGCCTTCTGGTCCTGACCACTACTGCCCATTCAGCCTTGCTCTCCAAGTGAGTAAAGTAAGGAGAAGGAGCAGTAACTTCCACAAGCTTTCTCTTGTCCCTCTGGGAAGTGGTGCAGATTAGGTCCAGAGGAAGAGACAAGTGAATGGGCAGTGGTAAGAAGGAAGTGGGTGCCGTCAGAGATCTTGCCCAAGCCCTTCCAAAAATAAAACCTAGAACCAGGACAGCTTTCCAGCAGGACTGCTACACTTCCCCTAAAGAGCTTATTAGCCTCATAGGGATGATGTGGTGGTTGCGGAATAAAGATACTGGTTTTCTTCAACCCTGCTTCCTCCCTCCCTAAATAGTTTACCTGCCTCAAGTTGTATGTGCCTCTTGATTCTGGTGTTATGAAGAGTCACATTTAGCTATTCCCTATGTACTTCCATGTACATAAGGAAAACAGCATAGCTTTCAGTTGCACCACAGGAGATGCATGGTAATTCTTAGAAAGTTGGTTTGGAGCCAGAAGAAAACCCAGCAGAGCAGTCTTAAGATTCCAGTAGGATTATGTGGATTTGGGGGGGGGGCAGAATAGTCAGCTAGCTTGCTCACCAGGACATGAACAGAATAAAGGCAACATTCTCAAAGTAAGTTTCTAGTTCTCCTGTTGGCTACAAAAACAAACCAGCCATAAAATGTGCTTGCAATATATGCTGTTATTAATGTCCCTAAAGTTCATTCACACACATGTCCACGGTGAGGAGCTTTTATGTCTTGGTATTGGTTGTCTTGACTAATCTGATAAGGCCTAGGCAATGAATCATCTACTAAAGGAAATAATCAAGTCTCTGTCTTGCTTTGTTGTGGGAGCCTCCCCAAATAGGAAACCAGGAAATAGTAGTTCAAATTCACTAAATGATTACATTTCCTACCACCCTCTTCAATGCACTAGACACCAGGGGGTTAGTTGAAAATCAGAACAGCAGCTATCTCACTAAGAATTCAAGTATAGACTTGTCCCAGGCCTTTGCCAGATGCGACTGGACATAACAATTTGCTGCTCATTAACTCATAGGCGGTTTCACACAGAGCTTGCCCCGTCATCACTATCCACTCTGAATCTGGAATACTTATGAGCATGTACTTATTGCTATAGCTCCCCTCATAGACTAGTAGGGGCATGTTGTCTGGGGAGACTCTATACTGCAAAATGCTCCTGTTCCTCTTATGTAATGAAACATAGAAATCTGATAAATATTATATACACTGATTAATTCAATTTAATATACTACTTTTCAGTTGACTCTCACAAAGCAGTTTACACTAAAATCTTAAAACAAGAGGCAGCAATTAAATCTATAGAATAAGCCAGCCAAGATAATCTACAAGAGGGATATTTTTTGAAAGCTACATCTCCTCTTCCCACAGGTAAAGAGGTTCTTTGAGTAGCCCTGGGGTGGCGGTTAAGGGAGGGAGAGGTCACCTCAACTCCAATACTGGGAACCAGGTTGTAGGCAGCTCTCCAGGCCAGTTTGTCTTTAGTCTCTCCTCCCTTCAGGGAAAGATGGTCCTCAGAAGGCCCCATAGTGGTGGGTAGTAGCGATGGAAACCACCTCACTCACTCGCAAATGTGTGTATATGAGTGTATGTCTGTGTCCAGAAGGACTGGAATTCAGTCCCAGATGGCGAAAATGGAAAGTGGAGCCTTCAGTGCTCCCAGCGGGGATTGGAGCTCATCACACACACACACAGCTTAGGGGGCACAGGACAGACTGCATGGCAGGACTGGGGGGGTGCCGTTACTGCCCCCAAAAGCTCCCTCACTCTGCCACAGAGGTGGAAAAGCTCAGCCTCAGGGACCAAATGTGGCCTTCTAGAATTCCCTGTCTGGTCCTCAGGACTCTCTCCATGCCACACCCTTTCTCCCTAGGCCCCAGCTCTCCCTGCCCCTGCTGTGCTCCTTCCTTGACTGTTTTTGCCTTGCTGGTCTGTGTCCTTGAACTCTGATAATGCCTCTTGCTTGCCTAGATAGAGGGGATAGAGAAAAGTGTGGGAGCATGTGTACAAACTAGTCTACTGTACAAAGATGAGATTTACATTGCAGTGGTACCTTGGGTTAAGAACTTAATTTGTTCTGGAGGTTTGTTCTTAACCTGAAACTGTTCTTAACCTGAAGCACTACTTTAGCTAATGGGGCCTCCCGCTGCAGCTGCGCTGCTGCTGCACGATTTCTGTTCTCATCCTGAAGCAAAGTTCTTAACCCGAGGTAATATTTCTGGGTTAGTGGAGTCTGTAACCTGAAGCATATGTAACCTGAAGCGTATGTAACCCGAGGTACCACTGTAATTGCTCCACCAACATTTTGTTCTGGACTGGTCCCATCCACTAGTGGCATGTGGCTCCTGGAAGACTGCCCAGATAGGAATGTGGCCCTCAGGCTGAAAAATATTCCATGTCTCTGCTCTATTTAATGTTATTCCTATGCACGGAATACAGGGAACGGACTCCTGCCCACCCAGCTAGGGTCTCAGCACAAGCCAGAATAAGCCAACTTCTAAATAGCAAGAGATGAGTCTCTACATGTCCAGCTCACTGGAGCATCTAGAACTAATGGAAACTTAAGGAATGCAAGATATTTCAACTGCTCCTGCAGTTGCCTGTTGCAAAGCTTAGCTCTGCTGGGAGACAATCTTGGCATAGCATACCTCACAGTTCACAAACTGTGCTGCCTTTGGTTCACCAATTCTAATGCAGGGAAAGATGTTCAGGGCAGAGGGTGGGGGCACACAGTGTTACTGGCATCCATCCAGCTTTCCACTTTAGCCAGTCCCAGTGCTCCTTTGACAGGTAAATCAATGCCTGTCTGGTGTAACTTAGCAAATCCTCTGGATTTCTCAGAACTTTAGCAAAACAATGATTTCTCTGTTGCCAATGACTTTACGAAGCACTACAAGTAACAAAAGCTTTGGCATGCACTGTTTTTGAAATGTATGAACCAACATTTTAATAATCAGTCGCTTGAAAAATTATTCAAACTCTTAAGTCAAAAACGTAAAACAGGAATTAATACTAATTCTGGAAATTTGAAGGTGAAGCTTGTATTGACAAGGAACCTAGATGTAAATACCAAGTGAATATTTGATGCATTTTCTTAAGGGTTACTAAATGATTCCATGGGGAAACATTTATTTATGCTTCTGTTCATAATTCCAGGAGGCATCACCTCCACGGAGGAAGCTTCAGGTACTGCCGAGATCTGCACAACAGATCTAGAATCACGGTGCAGCAGTTTATGGTGTTTGCCAACACAACATAACAATGCATAATAGTTCTCTTTGTCTCTTCACTCCAACACAAGTTGACAGTTAAACATCTTTGGGGCGGGGTGGAACTTTCAGAAAGGAATGATTGACAGCTTGCTGTACTGTATCCCTGCAGCGAGTTAGGCCTTTAAAGGAAAAATAACCAAACCAAAACAGTCCTCGTGCCTCCTTCGAAAACTAGTCTAAAATTAATATTGTTCGCAATCGCTATAAAGGGCACTCTTAACTCAGTTCCGATGTAACCTTTGCATGCCCTTGAAATTTCTACAATCTGGGTGTGTTTTTTTAATCGTTCACATACCTTGTTGATGCCCTCTTCGTTGGCTTCAACTTTCTTCTGCAACTGCATCGCTTGCCATAGATCGGCCACAGAGCCACTCCTGGCTTTATCCATCAAGTCGGTACCCGAAGGCAGCTTCTCTAGGCCAGACATTTGCTGTTCAAACCCTTTGACCCGCTTTCCCAACCCCTGCACTTTCCCCTGGACTCCCTGCACTTGATCTTGCATTCCTTGGACCTGATCTTCCACCCCTTGCACCTGATCTGCCATCCCTTGCAGGTTAGCCTGCAGCGCAAACATTTTCTTTTCCAAGTCGTCAAGGCGAGATTCTATGTCTTTGTCTGGAACCCCCTTTTCCTTCCTGGGCCTGCCTTCTTTGCCTTCCTTGCCCTCTAGGCCTTCTTTGCGTTCCTTGCCCTCCAAGCCTTCTTTGCCTTCCTTGCCCTCCAGGCCTTTGCCTTCCTTGCCTTCCTTGCCCTCCAAGCCTTCCTTGCCTGGCCTGCCTTCCTTGCCTGCCCTGCCTTCCCGGCCCTCCTTGCCTGCCCTGCCATCCTTGCCCTTCAGCAACTCTTCATCGGACAGTATCTCCCCAACCCCCGTCTCAATAGCCTCCGGCATGTCTGGCTTGGATGGCGGGCCCCGATCCACCTTGACCTCCGTCATGGCATCCTGGATTTTGAGGTACCTGAGGATGGCATGGAGGAGGGTGTGGAGGGCATTGAAATTGACATGGCCAACTTCGGGAGTCCCTATGGAGATGTCCGCCAACTCATACAAGGTGACTTTCAGAGACATGTCTGCACCCCTTTCGACCCACCCGCTTTGCGACAACCGCCAGCTGCCTTATTTAAGAAAAATAAAATATTCTTTTAAGAAATAACAAAAAACAACCCCGTCCTAATCTTTTATTAACCCCTATGAAAATATAACGCTGGGATGGGAAGGCAGTTCAATAAATAAAAGCTCTTCCCTTTTTTAAAAACAAGGAATATCTGTCTGGAGTATTTATTTATTTTTAAGCCCAATTTATTGTAAGCCCATTCCTGAAAGTGAGCAGGCTCGCGCCATAAAGGGATGAGCAGCGCCTCTATCTCGCTTTATCTTTTTGCTCTATTTGCCTATCCTTCTCCCCGCCCGCCCCCCCTTAAAACGACCACCCCTATTTAAAGGGCTTTTTTAAAGCTCCCCTCAGCCTAAGCAGCACCCGCCCCCAGCGCAGCTCGCAGCTCGGGCGAGCGACGGACTGACGAGCAGCTCCCCGCCGAAGCTCGGAAAAGAAGCCGCCTCCGCCGCGGACAATCCGGCCCCGTTCGAATCCTTGCGTTCCATTGGTTGCCTCACAAACCTTCTCGTTCCCGGATTGGCTTCGAGAACTGCTCATGTGCTTTTGTTTACCTCGCCGGCTGCCGGCTGATCGCGAGCCGGCGTTTGTGGTTGCTACGCAACGGGGGCGACCGCCCTCCGCCGTTCCGGGACTCGCGGCGCCGCGCGAATTATGACTCCGCGCGCTCCTCCCCCCCCCCTCGCCCTTGCTAAACAGAGAGGAATGGGCGGGAGCCGAAGGAATCGGGGAGGTTTGTTAGCCAGTTTAATATATTCCCAGTTTAATTAAGCTATTTCTTTCCCAAGAGTTTCCGAGCAGCAGATTCAAAAAGTATAAAATAAAATTTAGACGCCACACACAGAGATTTTTTTAAAGGGGGGGCGGCTGTTGGTGGCATTCGTAGATCTGTTTACATTAAACATTTAAATTACCTCGTAGGTTTTCCTGAAATAAAGGAAAAAGTGCTGAAATACTGTGCAGAACCACGTAAGCGTGATTTAGCCCTAAGGTCATCTGGTCCAACTGTTTGCCAGAAGCAAGACTCCTGCAAAAGCTCTCCTTGCAGCCAAAGGCCTTGGATGGTGGAAAGCGGCGTGTCTCAGGTACGCTTAGTTTGTACCAGCACTGTTTTCAGTGTTCAAGATACTGGGAACAGATGAACTGTGGACAGCGGCAAGTGGGGGAAATAGCTCAGTGGTGAGAAAAACAGCCTCTGCGTATCATAGAATCGTAGAGTTGGAAGGTATCTCAAGGTTCATCTCACCAAACTCCATACACTCTATTTAACGGTTAGTTTTGCATTGATTTGTGAAATCTAAATATTATTATTATTTATTAAATTTATATAGTCATTCTATTTTTATATATAGCTATAGATACAGATATAAAAACCTATGCACATTTCATGCAGATTTATGTCCAATGGGCTTGTGGCCCAGGTCTTTTAAATATTTGTGATGCCCTCTACTCCAAAGCATGTTTCCTCCAACAATGGGCAACTGCAAAGTTCCCATGCGACACTGAGTACAGCAGACTTTGTGGCCTTCTAAGTGCGGTTGGACTCCCATCAGTGCCAAGACAGCACAGGAAGAGAGTTGCGGTCCCACATCATCTGGAGGACCACAGGGTCCTTATCCCTGCAGCCCTGATCTCTCTCTTGCTCTCTCCCAAATTTCAAAGCAAATATTCACCTACAACAGTGACTTCCAACAAGCAGTAGCTGCCTGTCACATCTCAACTGAAATATCCCCATGCTTTGCCTCTCTCGCAATTGGAAGGCTCTTCTTAACATCTCACTTCCGCTGTTTAATTGCAGTTTGAGCTCCTTTGCTCCTGTCTTCTTCACAGTAGCACAAAAGAGCAACTGGTCCTTGCTTTCTCATAACTGGGATAGAGTGAAAAAAGGGGCAAAAGTGAAACAGATGTAGGACTGGGATGGGGAACTCTGGCTCTCATTAGTCCCAGGCAGCTTGGCTGAGGGCCAGAAATGATGAATTTCTATATTCTTAACAGTGTTGGCAATTTCCCTATCAACAGAGCCAAAATTTCTGTGGCAGACACTTGGGAGTAAACCACCACAGAACAGAGTTGGATGTATCTCTGAGTGAAATGCATAGGATCAGTCTACTCATGTCAGCTACTCTAGAACAATGTGAATTGACTTTGTAGGACCTAATCATGTTTTCGTGGTGTGCTGACTAGTGAACAAATACCTTCATACAGTAGTTTTTTACTACTATGGTTATATTTGTAACTATGCAATTTTTTTTCATGTTCTAAGCCAACTTGAGCATGGTTTTAGCTATGGAAAGGCGGAATTCAAATAAAATGATGTATATATGTAACATCAGCTCAGAACAGCTCTCTGTGTGTACTGAAAGGTCAACTTCTCCATTTATGGAGTGCAGTCTATATTACCATGAGGACTAGCACCCTGAATCTGGAAAAAAATAGCAGATTCTTTGCAGAGTCTCTTATCTATGATTAGATGCCCTGATCATGTGATGAGAGCTGGTGGCTGTGCTCAGTTCCTCTCACCCAAGCCAATTGTATTTACAGATGAGAAAATGCCCTTAGGGACCTACTGTAGAGCAGGGGTAGCCAACACATTAGTGACCACAGCTCCAGTTCTAGCTTTGGACCTGATGGCTGGGGCTGATGAGCACCTCTAAACATCTGAAGGGCACATTGGCTACCCCTGCTTTACAGTCTGCACATGAAATTAATGCTCAACATTTGATTCATATGTGTAAGGAATCCCGGCTGAATTCTAATACAGATCACTATGGAATTACTGTTTTAAGGTTATGCATGGGGTTGTTTATTTTTATTGCTGTTTTAATTGTGTCTTTACAAATTGCAACCCATCCTAAGACCAGTTGTTGAAGGGCAACTAAGAAATATGTAGCAGCAATAGCAACAAGGACAGCTTCTCTAAAACCATGATCAAGAATATATCTTTGCAGTATTTTCTGTTTCTCCTAAGTGTTGGGCTAGATAGCGATGCTCTACTTCTGGCCTGACTGCATTGCAGTGGAGGTGAAATGATATTCTATATATAGTTTGTAATATACCCAGGGACCACTTTTAAAGGTGCACTGCACAGATGGGCACTGTAATGCTCTCAGATCTGAGATGCAAACAGAACAAGAAACATATGGTTAAAGGAGTGTATGTCCATGTTGGTTGTGTGTGTGTGTGTGTGTGTGTGTGAGAGAGAGAGAGAAAGAGAGAGAGAGAGAGAGAGAGAGAGGTGGTCTGGATAGTGCCCAAGTGCCCTTCTCTAAACAAAGTAGGAAATTTCAAGACCCACTTACTGTGCAGGTATGGTAGGATGCTGCTGCTATATTTTTCTTGTATGTATGTGAGTGAAGCTAGATAGAAAAATCAGGATTCATTTTGGTCCATATGTGAACCCCAGTAGGTAAAACTGAATCCAGGACAAGAATCACAGACTCATGACTGTAAATAAAACAAATTAACTGGTTTGTTGATATACAATGCTCAGAACAAGAATAGCAGTAAATGTTTTAAGTCCAAATAACTGCATAAATACATAGTCCCTTGAACTATACAAGCTCTTCCGTGTAATTGACAAGCCAATTATACTATTTATACAATCATTTAAACAATAATTTATCATCAAACCCTCGTCTGCATCTCCCTGCCTAAACCTCCTCCAGTCCATCTAGTTTATGGGCCACAGCTCAGTGGTGTTATACATGCAGAAGGTCCCAGGTTAAATCCCTAATGTCTCTAGGTAGCGCTGGGAATGTCCCCTGCCTGAAACCCTGGAGAACCACTGCAGTATAAGGCAGCATCTTATGTTTCCAAGCTGTTCTTGGCATTTCACATGGAATTCATAGCTATTGATCCATTGTAGTGCATCCCCAGTTTCCCATAGGCTGGGAATAGTGAAAGAACGAAGCGGAGGCGGGGGGGGGGCAGTAGGCAGCCTAGCAAGAACAGCAGCAGAATTCTATACGTGTCTATTCTGATGTAAGTTCCACAGAGTTCAATAAGATTTCTCTACCCTTCTGACATGCACTGGCTTTACCTGTAAGCAAATGTTGACATTCCATGAAGCAACTACCAAGCTGCATGTACCCAGTACCCGTACATGTACAAGCTGCATGTACAGGGTACCCGTACCCTGACCCCTAAATATACAACCAATAATAAGACAGATCTGGACCATAAAGAGGGCTGATCGCCGAAGAATTGATGCTTTTGAATTATGGTGCTGGAGGAGACTCTTGAGAGTCCCAGGGACTGCAAGAAGATCAAACCTATCCATTCTTAAGGAAATCAGCCCTGAGTGCTCACTGGAAGGACAGATTGTGAAGTTGAGGCTCCAATACTTTGGCCACCTCATGAGAAGAGAAGACTCCCTGGAAAAGACCCTGATGTTGGGAAAGATGGAGGGCACAAGGAGAAGGGGACGACAGAGGACGAGATGGTTGGACAGTGTTCTCGAAGCTACCAGCATGAGTTTGACCAAACTGCGGGAGGCAGTGGAAGACAGGAGTGCCTGGCGTGCCCTGGTCCATGGGGTCATGAAGAGTTGGACACAACTAAATGACTAAACAACAACAACAAAAGTGCAAGCCTCCTGCAGGTGGCAGCATATCACATGAAATAGGATGTAGGCAGCTAATGACAAAGCCTTGTATGAATGTCTACCTAGAAAGTATTCTGTTTGCACACTGCACACTTTCTGTGTTGTGGATGTGACCCATATCGCAGTCTTCAAGTATGCCTATATCACCCAGATCAGATAAGCACCAGAAAGCAGTGTATAGGTAACAACACACGTCTCTTTTGCTTTTCTTTTGACCACAAGCAAATCTGGTCTAACTAAAGAATCACAATCATGGCTGCTGCTTAAATTTGAATTTTGTCCAGAAACATCCTCCACATTCCCCCCTCATATTTTATTCTATTTTGTTAAGAATAATATTTATAACCCAACCTTCATCTCAATGCATCCCAGGGGTGATTTAACTCCTTGATAGGTTATGCCTCACCCAACCTATGAGAGAAGTTGTCTTCGCATTTCAGCTGTTCAATATCCACTCCCCAACTGTGGCAGTCTTGAAGTGAGGCTATTGAGTGTTGAGTAAGCACAGCTAATTGGAACCAGTATGTTCAGAGGCATTGCCACTTGCCTTTGGTGACCAGATGCTGGGGACAAACAGGGAGGTGACCATTCCCAGCATGACTTGCTCTGCTCATAAGCTTCTAGAGGCACCTGGTTGGCTGCAAGTCAGAACGCTAGACTAGATGCACCTTGGCCTCATCCAGAAAAGCAATTCTTGCAGTTTTCATTTTAGTGTGTAAATACACTAGAGAGGGACATGGGTGGCGCTGTGGGTTAAACCACAGAGCCTAGGACTTGCTGATCAGGTCGGTGGTTCGAATCCCTGCCACGGGGTGAGCTCCTGTTGCTCGGTCCCAGCTCTTGCCCACCTAGCAGTTTGAAAGCACGTCAAAGTGCAAGTAGATAAATAGGTACCGCTCCGGTGGGAAGGTAAACGGCGTTTCCGTGTGCTGCTTTGGTTCGCCAGAAGCGGCTTAGTCATGTTGGCCACATGACCCGGAAGCTGTACGCCGGCTCCCTTGGCCAATAAAGCGAGAAGAGTGCCACAACCCCAGAGTCAGTCACGACTGGATCTAATGGTCAGGGGTCCCCTTTATCTTTACCTTACTCACACTAGAAACTCTTAAGAGATATAGCTGTAGATTTAAAATCATGTGTTTATAAGCTGCCTCAAGTGCTTACTTGGACGCAGACAATTCTTGGCATATACTTGGAAGAAGCACAACTGTCGACTTATTTACTGTTGTTAACAGCTCCAAAGCTGTGGGTTACAGTACAGCATCCTTTGTTTAATTCACCCTCTGCATCCTTTTTGTGTTCCTTCACTCTTCTTAGGAAAGCAGGTGGTCAGCTTCACGTACTGGAGATCTCTGCTCACTAATGATGTATATAACAAGTCAGAGGGCCACAGGTGATGTGTGTGCACTGTTTATACATAATCTGCAATTGACTCCTCATAATTGCTGGCACAACTTAATTGCTGTTTCCAGTTTAGAGATAAGTACCAGCAGCTCTTGGGATATTTTGAAGACAACAGCTGGAAAGGGAATCTGTGACCATTTTCTCTGATCTCATTGCTATAACAAGCCTTCATTCATAACTCCAATCACAGTTTGCCCCATTGGTTGTATAAACAATTCCAGGTATGTAGGGGAATAAATGTCACATTCTCTTTCAGTTGCTGGCACTCAAAAGGGCTATTAAGCCCTGGCATTGCTAAATCCAAATACTGAGTTATTAAACAAGGACCTTCAAATTACACGAATTAAAGACCCTCTGGAATGATACTTTGATTTGCTTTTCGTTTTAACAGAATGATTCACCCACTGCATCCTTCACAAGGTCCTTAGCTAGCAGCATCAATTCTATCATAAGCATGGATCTGAAACTCTGCAACAGATTTTCCGCCTGTAAAATAGTGGATCATGTGGAATTCTCCATTTCTTGTTGAAGCTGTTACTGATGTACAAGCATAGTTCAGTTATTTTGTATCACTACAAAACGCAGGAATCCCTTCTAAACCTTATACTGTATTTATATTCTATAAAACCTCAGGCAGATCTTCATTTCAGGAGCAAAATTAAAACCTCACGAGTCCTACTGATCATATGATATATTCAAAAACACCTCACTTCCCAGGAGAAATTTATGCAGGGAAATGTGTAAGATTACACCTAAAAGGTGTAATTTTGCATGTGATAATTCTTTGAGGAAGGATACTCACTTAACCCCCTTTAAGCCTTCTGTTATGGGAAATTATTCCCAGAGCATGTTTAGCATTTGATAGGCACTGTTCATACACTGAAAAGGAACCTTGGTCTCTTAAGGCTTTTGAGCTGTGCTTTCCAGACATGCGCACACACTTTAAAGCTCTGTGGGGTTTTGTTTTTGGTCCCAGCGCTTTCCTCAGGGAAACCCATGTTTTATTGCTGAATCTGAGCAAATCTACAGAGAATCCAATTGCCATTTTCTCCAATTCAGCAATAAAACATGGATTTCCCTGGGGGAAATGCTTTGGCAAAAAACAACAACACTTGGACACAGAGCTTTAATGCCCCGACCTGTGTCTAGAATCACAGCACAAAAGGCAGTCTGGATGAGCCCTTAGTGTGGAAGAGCTTTCCAGGTTATCATAAAAATACATGCAAGTGGAAGGCTGTGTCCTGTGAGATACCAAAAGGCAAGGTCATGTACATAGATTTTTCTCTCTGTGCACCTCCCTCTAGGCTTTGCCTGCAGTTTTGCTCATGACAAAGCAAAAATTATTAAAAATCAATCATGGGCTCCCAAACAGAAAGGAAAACTGAAAAGAAAAACAAGGTACAAAGCGCACCATTGTCAAGAAGTGACAGTCACTGCAAGATTAATTTAAGGTGTTACTGTTGCTGCCTCCTTATGCCAACCCACAAAGCTCCATCATGCCAAGTTCCTTTCTCAGGTTAGTATGGAACTCAAGAGATAGAGGTTTAAGATAACAAAGTTCCCATTCCAATGGTTGAAAAGGATTTTTGTTTGGGATTCCTAGCAGCAATCATAGTAGTTGAGAACAGGCTATAGCAAGCAGGCTTGACAAAAAGTAGATGCTTAGATTTTTCCCCCACTTCACCCTGATTTGGAAGACTAAAAACAACTGACTGCATGTGCATGACAGCAGGCTTTTCATACTACCCACTGAACCATCAGTAGCTCTGAGAAATGTACAAAGGCTTCATAGGTGTTAAAACACTACAGGAATATTCTGAATAAATCACCTCTTCTTCGGATAAATTATAAAAATTCTGCTCAAGAAGGCAATCTTCACAGCTTGCACAAAGGAACAGTACACCTAAAATGTTCAAAACAGAGGCCAGAGATCTGTGTACAGGCTAAGGTGTTTCTTTTCTGCATAGAAGCCCTGATCAAACTGCCTTCTGGTTCAACAAGGAAGAGACCAGGATCTATTAGGCAGTGCATCAGATCAGGACCAGTTTCAGCCCTGTTTTCTCAAAAGCACACCAAGGTTCTTTCTGAAGTATCTAGGGTTTTGGGGGTTTTTTTGCATGCCCACAGCAAGTGGCAAAATTCCACTCTTATTTTGACAGCTCTGATTAAGATAAGACTCTGCATGGTTGTAAACATAATCAGATTTGAAAAAGATAAAAAGCAATGGAAGCATGCTTTTTCTGATCACGCAAGAAGGCTACTGGACATTTGCCCATTTCTCAGTTGTATGGTTTGCCTCCTCTGTGAAACTTGGATCATGTTCTGTGTGCTGTTTTGTGACCAGTTGCATGGTGTGGCATGACAGAACTTCTTTTGTCTTAGAATCTCAGAAAGCTGAGGTATAAAATATACTCCCTTCTCCCATAGCTTCAGCTTGAGGTGGGCAGTTTACTTGAGATGGAGGTTGCAACTGTCTGCACTAGTAAGTGGGTTTGTTGCATCACCCTGTCACCCTAATTAAAAAGCATGAAAAAAAAGCAAAACAGAGCAAAATGAGAATGAGGGGGATAAATGTTAAAATGTCAAAGCAGTTAAAAAAATTATGCATCTGGAAAAAAATATTCTAAATATCTGAAAAAGAAGTGATTTCCTATTTAAAACCAAAAGCCAGCTCCCTCCAAAAGCTCTAACTTAAACTAGCAAACCTCTTCAAGTCTTCCCCAGGAGCTGGAGGTGATGGAACCGGAGAGGTTATGGGCTTTCTTTCTAAAACCTACAAGACTAAAGGGAAAATGCTGCAACAACTGGAATATGTAAGGAAAACCCTCTAGGATTAGTGTGGACAGAAACAAAATTCAAATGCCATGTGTAACACTTTTACATCACTTTAATTCTCATCCACCATCCCTCTTGTTGTAGTCCAGCGTCTTGACATATCGATTGTCTCTGCCAAATTGCTTAGAACATTAAGGACCAATATAGTGTTCAAACAAAGCAGTATGATAATGCACAGATGAACATTTTAACCCTCCAACATGAATATAGGTGGTTTTCATCGTTGTAAAACTGGCAACAGAAATCCATCATGAATAGCTGAACCGCTTGAGAGCAAAGGAGACCTCACGATGTTCGGGACTTTACCCACAACTTTACACAATGCCGCTAATACTTTAACTGTTAACATTAGAAGTTTCTCAGACAATTTTGAATCCGAGTTCATAAAAATCACAGCAATGGACGATAGTAACTTTGCTCTAATGCTCAGCATTCATAGTAAACCTATCCCAAGGTATTGCTTATGTTTAAAGCCATCTGGGAGGGCTTTTAAAAGACAGCATCTCAACAAGATGTGCATACCTAGGTAGTCGTGATGAGACAGAAAGGTAGTTATGTTGTGTTGTGTGCATTTTTGCATACATAAATGGAGGAAACTTTACTTGCTGAACAGTTAAAAGCCTGTCCTGGACTTGCAGTTTTCTTGTCTGTAATTTAATATGGAATGATATACATTTTAAAATGCGCTTGAGTTGGAGGAAAAATATGTCGGGGAAAGGTGAAGGACTACCCCCCCCAAAAAAAAGGTAAATGAAGAAAACACTCTGCATGGTAACTTTTGAAAGACTCGCCTGTGTTTTTGATAACTCAGGCTATTAAGGGAGAGTTTCAACATTACAAGTTGTTTCCATTTTTATCAGTCTAGAAGATACTGTATGCTTGGGCTCTGTTCTTACAACCTCTAGTGTGAATTAGAATTGCCATTTCACCCATAAGGCACTTAAACCGTGCCTGGGTGTGCCAGAATATCTGCTTGCATGGCTGGTAAAATGTCACTGTTTTAGCATCCTGTTGCCATGGATATTGGGACCATTTATGGTTTGGCGTCAACTCTTAGAATGTGGTTGTTGATAATTAGTTAACAAATGGGTTGTTTAGTCCAGTGTTTCCCAACCTTGGGCCTCCAGCTGTTTTTTGACTACAACTCCCATCATCCCTAGCTAGCAAGACCAGTGGTCAGGGATGATGGGAATTGTAGTTCAAAAACAGCTGGAGGCCCAAGGTTGGGAAACACTGGTTTAGTCCATAGCAGGTTTTTGTTTTCTCATCTTTCAATGCAAGTATTTGAACACACTCTCAAGATCCTATAATCCAGGTGTAGCCAATGGGATGCACTCAATAAATTGCTGGACACCAACCTCAACCCATTGCAGCTATTCCAGCAACACCTGAAGGGTATGTTGGCTGCCCCTGTGTAACCTCTATTGTAATGCAGTAAACAAAAAAATACTCCATGGTATTAAAGCTTCTGACAGGAATTGGCTGAGCAGCTATGACACCATGGAGTGTTAACTGCTGAGGTAATGAAAGCTGACTTATTGAAAGCAAGCCCGATGCTCAGGCCAGGCAACAGCTTGAGATGTGAAATTTCCGGAACAGAACATAATATACAGTATATGTCTTCAGTTTGACTGGGAAAAGGTCCTATGCAAGAGGCTGAGATAAAAAGAGCTGTTATGATCCAAGGACCTAAGTGGTTTGGCTGCTACAGAGCGTGCTAAATGGATGAGTTGCACATCCTTTCTAAGCTTCTGGTGCTTCATGTCCACAGTGGCAGTGGGTATCTGGAATTCACACACCTCCACTGCTTTAGTCATTACACTGTAGAAGGAGCCTGTATAATCTTGTAATGGTCAGAGCCACTCTCAGTAGGAAGCTGAGGGGCGTGTGAGCTGAGACAAAGGTTTACTACAGGTTCAATCGTAGACTGAAGCAAAGAGTTGGTGGAGTTGATAAAGTGGGACTTGGGGAAAACCCCTCACATGGTGATTTGAGTTGTTAAAATAACAAGGAGGCCAGGAGAGGGGGTTTTGGAAGCTGAGAAGAACTATGGCCAGAGGTGTAGAGTTTCTTAGTCCTTCAATCCCTTTAAGTCCACTCTCAGGAATAAATATTTCATCAGGTGCAATTTTTCTCCTGTTACACCATCACACGTGGTAAGGAAAAAGCTACCTTGATCTAAATCTTCCTTCAGCTGAACTGTTAAAAAGAAATAGGGTCTGGTCCTAGAAAATGTAAGGGGACAACTGGGCCCAAAGCGGGGAAGCAGGGCTAAATGGATTGGACCAGGCATAGCCACGGCAGAGCAAAGGACTGGGTCATGTTCCAGGGGCTCCCTCAAAAGGAACTGCCAGATTAGTATGGTGGGCAGCATCAGGCTTGCTTCCCTTTTTCTCCATCTCTATGATAGCTAGTAACACTGAGTGGGCTTTTGAGTAGCAGCCACCAGGCAGGCAAGCAGTGACTGTGGCTTGCACCTAGTCATCTCTCACCCCAATTGCCCAGTCAGAGTGGAACGACAGCCTTAGGCCTCCGGTAGTTGGCAAATGCAACATTCTTGCTTTTAATCAAACAGTTATCAGAGTAAATACAATTAACACTAGCTGCTTTGTGAGCTGTCTTGAAGGGAGTGTTTTGTTACTTAGCAGACCTTAAAGAAGTAGGTAATTTGTCATATAAGTATGCTATTCATTCTTACTAATGACCAAGCGTTCTATTGCTTAGATCAGGAATGGGGAACTTAGGGCCTTCCAGGTGTTACTGGACTACAGCTTCATCAACCCCAGCCAGCATGGCTCAATGATCAGGGAGGCTGGGAGTCATTGGACCTCAACAACCGAAAGGTACAAAGAAAAGGTTATGCTAGACAGTTGCAGGAATCTTACAGGTCAAACACTAGCACCCTAGGAGAACACAGCACAAGGGGTAGGCAGTTTTACTGTTAGCTGGAGGCGGCCATATAATGGGACTGTCTCAAACAGATTTGAATTTTGCATACCTTCTCAGTAAAATGTTTTAAGAAACACTGCACTGGGCAGCAGGCAGAATCACCCTATATGTTAATAGATAGCACTATAGAATTCTCTCTTAGGGACGCAACAGATAAAAAACTGTTTTAGATTTCCCATTCTGCATCAAGAATACAGCTGTGTAAAACACACAGGAAGGTATTACATGGATGTTTCTATACTTTCTGGCCAATGTGCTTTAATTTTTGGCCATGAAGGAACACAGAATACCACCAGAAGCAAATCCCATTAGACTGTACTTAATCTTACAAACTTACTCACAAACTGTAGCAAGAGTCTTAAAATGTTATATACTCTTGTTACATGGCCAGCTAGGCAGAACTTGAACCTAGGGCTCTATAGAGGAGGAGGGGTAGCACATTCTAGTTTCTACCATGACTTTGGAACCCCTTAGCATCATGCTATGTTATTGCTGATCAAATTACCTAGACTGCAATAAAATGTACCTATGTGTAGATGGTTTCACAAGAGGAAGCTCTGCTGCACCCATATTAAGAATGGCTCCAAAGGCCGTAAGAGGGCATTGCACATTCCAGCAGTGCAAGAAGAATCACACCTCCTTCCAAACAGCTTGAAGACATGCATGACTAGAGAATTTATGAAGTCAAATCTCTGTAAGCAATTGAATACACAAGATCTGCTGAACAAGAACAGAAGGCCACCACTAGTACCAGTTTTTAAAACAGACTGCAATGCCTATTTGCACCCTGATTTGCTGGCTCCGAGGACTGTTGGCCAGTGAAATTGAAATACCTGGGCCTCACGGCATCAATCTCTTGACACCCAGACCCATACTAATGCTTCCCCCACCCAAATAGCATCAACTTTATGGCACTGCCGATTCATGCATATTTCCTTGCACATTTCTTTTCTCCCTTCTATTTAAGGAATGAGGATGTGGGAATGATAAAGAGAATCTAATCATCCATGGTAATGTTGCGGAAGAGGTAAGCCATGGATTCCCCATTGTGGATTCGGCGGATGGCTTCAGAGAGGATCAAACTGATATCCACAGTCTTTATCTTGGGACACTGCAGTTTCTGCACTTCATGAGGAACTGTATTGGTGACCACCACCTAGCAGTGCACAGGGAAGTAAAAAGATTAAATTTAGAAATGTGGCTGAAACATAATTCACAGGATCTAACTTTTAAAAAATAAAATCAAACCAGAAGTTCCTTGATGGGTCACCAAACACACACAGTGTGCATTTGCATTTAAATTCCTTAATGGAAATAAGAGGTTGCAGCCAAAGTTTTGAGATTGTGTAAGGTATTTGCATTTGATGCCCCACAATAGTTGGAGGTGTCATTATTATTGCAAGAACCACAAAGAAAACTATAAAGCTGCAAGAGAACAGGGCAGCTGGTAGTAAGGAGCACAGGAGAGGCAGCTGAAAGCAACACCTGGCGCCTCTGCTCCTCAGAAGCAGCTGCTGCTGCCTGAACTGCCTGAGATTAACAGATGGGCCAGAGAAAGGAGAGTTGTGAGCAAGCAAGCAAGCAAGCAAGCTGAAACACTAGTCCTAGTATGATGTGTCAAGTAATAAGCTCAGCAGCACCCACTCATTGAAAAAGCAACAATTCACCTGGATCAAAGGGGGCTGGGGCGTTCAATGCCCGTCTGCCTAAATTTAAAACCTAGGATTTAAGACAAATCTAGCAGTACAGCTGCAGTTTTATTTAAATAGTGCTAAAATCCTAGACACTTAGACCTACAATTTCCCATGATATCTGGTCATGAGGAAAGCATATTGAGTGGTATTCAACTAAGTTTTACTCAGAGTAAAAAGGTAAAGGTACCCCTGCCCGTACGGGCCAGTCTTGACAGACTCTAGGGTTGTGCGCCCATCTCACTCAAGAGGCCGGGGGCAGCGCTGTCCGGAGACACTTCCGGGTCACGTGGCCAGCGTGACGAAGCCAGAGCCGCACACGGAAACGCCGTTTACCTTCCCGCTAGTAAGTGGTCCCTATTTATCTACTTGCACCCGGGGGTGCTTTCGAACTGCTAGGTTGGCAGGCGCTGGGACCGAACAACGGGAGTGCACCCCGCCGCGGGGATTCGAACTGCCGACCTTTCAATCGGCAAGCCCTAGGCGCTGAGGCTTTTACCCACAGCACCACCCGCGTCCCTTTTTACTCAGAGTAGACCCCCTGAAAGGAGTGGCTAAGTTAGGTCCATTAATTTCAGTAGGTGTAATCTGAGTACAACTCAGTGTTTTGCATAGATGGGCACTGTGTTAATGGCTCTTGACTGTAAACCTCCAGGCCAGAAGACAAAATGCACCACAAGTATTGCCACTGTAGCAATCTGCTGCATTTTCCTGCTTGGAAAAATGCAGCCACATCGTTGCAGCTTCAAGTTTCCACCATGCTTCATCCTTCTTTCTTAAGCAGTAAGACAAGGAGGCACTACAGCACAGCATTCCTCTTGGTGGGAAAAATGTTATGGTCTGAAGCAGGGGTCAGCAACCTTTTTCAGACCATGTGGTGGGCCAGACTATATTTTGAAAAAAAATATGAACGAATTCCTATGCCCCATAAATAACCCAGAGATGCATTTTAAATAAAAGCACACATTCTACTCATGTAAAAACACGCTGATTCCCGGACGGTTCACGGGCTGGATTGAGAAGGCGATTGGGCCGCACCCGGACCACGGGCCTTAGGTTGCCTACCTCTGGTCTGAAGTATGAGATTTCTGAGAAGGGCAGCTACCACAGCACAGCTCTGTGTTTCTGTAGTCAGAAAACATTTAAGTGCTGAGCTATAGCAGTGGGAGAATGGGAATCCTTGTTTGTAAGGTTCTTCTTTAAACCAGTCATTCTTTTTCTTGGAGTAATGAACCAGTAGCATTTGGTCTCAATCTCAGCAAAACTCTTTAACTCAAGTTAGTTTACCATCTACTGAAAAAAATATGCTGCAGCAGGGCAGGGGGCTAGTCCTCAAGATGCTGTACTACAATTCCTGTCATTCCTGAAAATGGATCATTCTGCATGGGGCTGGTGGGAATCCTAGTCCAGCAACAGCTAGATTCATGCAGAAGCCAACTGATGCTGTGTGTTTATATATTCAGTATATGCAACAGTCTTGTGCTCCATATACAAATCTGTCAACTTATTGATCAATCTAAATCCATCATTTGCTATTTAAAACAACACTAATACACAAATAAGAGGGAATCTTGCCCATAGAGCAATATACCAAGACTTGCCTCATCAATTGATGACTCTTCAATTAGACGTGGAGCATCAGCAGACAAAAGCCCATGAGTTGCCATGATGAAGATCTTATAAGCACCACGCTCTTTCAGGATTTCTGCAGCTGCCACAAAGCTTTCCACATCATCAATGATGTCATCCTGAGAAGCAAAACAAATCCCAGTTAAAATCTGGAAGTTATTAGCAAGCACAAACTGCTCCACTGTCCCACAAGCAGTATGTAACCACTTTGGCAAATCTGGAATAATTTGAAGATGCTTCAGTGTCTAACATAAAGTTACATATGAACTTTTGGTACATTGCCAATAAGTATTTCAGTAGCAGGTATTTATACCAGCATGGTATGAGTCTGCTTCCTGGGCAGGGCTAAGTTCCTATAATGAGCACATGACAGGCACAAACTTTCCAAAGATTTATGAAGGAGTGCTGTTTGGAAAATATACACGAAAATGCTTCTTTGGGCAAAGATATATTTGAAAATACAAAAATGGCTTTAGTTAGCTCTCAAGGAGAGGTACAGAATGCAAGCTGCCCATGCTCCTGGTTACAAACCCAAGAAGTGTCTTGTGGAAAGGCAGGCACTAGGAAGCTAGTCACATAGGCTACACAAAGTGCACTGGTTTGGCACAAGGCCCTGTCAATTTTGTTGACTGTTTGAGAAACCAGAATAGGGACCTTTGGGTAGGAGGTTCTGAAAAGCTTGTTCATATGTAGTTCTATGACACAGTGGCAACATGTACACTATACAAGCTTGGATAGGCCAGGATGTCTAGTCTTGCATCTTAAAACAATCATCCCTCCAAATGGAAAGGCTACTGTACCTAGACTTTTGTCCAGGAGGTTAGCAATGAACCCCAAAGCTTCACTCAGTGAGGTGTCACTGTCTATCAGAGTTGGATTTTCTTTCCAGATAGAAAACTAACAGGAATTTATACCACAGCCTCATAAGGCCATTTAATACTGGAGGATAGATTCCTTATTTAATTAGTAGAAAAAATGTGAAACCAGACAATACAATGTGACTGTTTAGTTTTCCTGCATGGCTTCTAGCCCAGTCCTGAAATCCCAACTGCATCCAAGCATAAATATTTGAGATGTAATGAAACCTAGGGGGGAAAATCCCATTTGTCATCATGGCCTTTTAGTTCCTTACCACAATGATGGCAATTCTACCTCCAACATCTCCAACTACTGTTATTGGTGGCTTCTCTTTGGCCATCATAACTAAGGAATAAAAAACCCAACATCAGAATCACAGCTTCATTGTAATATGCATATTCATCTTTCATGCTTTGTATGAAAGAGACCTCATACTGGACATTTTGTTTCACTTAAATGAAAGACAGTTCAAATAGCAGCTGTTATTATTACTGAACATAAACAAACCTTGTCACATTTAAGCAATTCTGAATGAACTGTGTTGAGGCACAAAAATTATGTCTCACAGCACTGATTTCAGCCACCCTTTAAAAGGTCATCATTAGATACTCCTCAAAGGGGAGGGGAGGAGGAGGGGGTGGTTGTGGTGGTGAAACTTACTGGTATTTAGGGTTTTACTTTTTGAAATATGGCAACCCTATTTGAGCACATGCTCAGCCCAGGTTTTCAGGACCAGTCCTTTCACACTCAAATCACAAATCACCCAGTTTTCATTTTAGAAAGTTAATCCGGGGAGAGAGATTTCTGGTGTTGCCATTAAACAACTGATTGCAGATTATTCCTGGATGTGTGCATGACCTCTGATTTAAAAGCAACTTAATTTTGCTTGGTTCCTTATCTCCCTTTAGATAGCTACAACTTATTATGTGTGCAGAGTTTGTTTCCTCAGCAGAGAATTCAGATTGCTCTTACGTTGAAATGCCTTGCACATCAAACCAAAGGAAAATAAAAGTAAAGAAAAATGCAACAACATACAGGGTAGCTCCAGACCAGTGTGCAGAGTAGTATTTTTTACTGTTGGAGGAGAGTGGCGTCCATCATCCATGTCTTGCTCTGTGCACTGAGCCTCCCCGTGGATAACCGCTAGTCCTAGCCGTAACCGTTCTGCATAAGACTGGGCCCTACATAAAAGCAACAAGATATTAGTGGGGTGAAATACATTCACTTTTGAAAAGTCCTCTGCTTTAGCTCATTTCCATGTGCTTCATTTAAACAGGATTCAGCCTGGGGAAGGAGTTTGCTTTTTCAACTAACAATAAGTAGTTAATGCTTAAGAATGTTGCTGTTCACTATTGTTTTTCAATTTCCTTTTAACAAAATAGACTCCTTGCACAATCACCTTCTGCCACTTTAATATGAAAAGCAGATGCTATTTATTTTGGAAGTGTGTCAAACACTTCCAAAACATGATGCTCCTTTCCTCTGTCTCTGTAATAACTTCAAATGTTGAACTGAAGCTATAACCTCGGTCTGTATTAATCTAAATAGCTGTGCTGGCAGAAGCCAGGGCAACAAGTACTGCTAACACAGTGGGGCTCCCCCCCCCCAAGATCAGCCCTGGAAGGTTGGAAAATTCCTCCAGAACAACATGGAGGAGGAGAGGGGAGACCATTCCATCTGGAAAGCAGAAATCCTAGTGTTGATGGGAGTGATCTCCTTAGCATTACTTTACATTCCACTCAAAAGGGAAAAGAGGAAAGTGTCTCAAAGTGATCAGCTGTTCAAAGTATAACAGAAATAGTGTCTCCAAAGGTTCAAAAATATTTGTATTGGTATTCACTGAAAGCTGATGTAATTGAACAAGAAGGATCAGTACACACAAACTGTTTTTCTACTGGCATGGATGGACTGATCCCAAACCTTAAAAAAAAAAAATCAAGAAAAAACCCTAAGCAGTTTACATATATTATTGGTTTCCTTCAGATGGTCTATGGGGCCACACCAGAATAGTCACATAAAGAGTAATACAGCTAAGTTATCGAACGGTAAACAGATATGGGAAGGGATGAAGACTGTGCATGCAGCAGATCCAAACAGGTTGAAGATGCTGCAGTTGCATCAACTGTCACTCCATTTTGATTTTTATAAAGAGAGAATTACCACTTCAATTCAGGAAAACTAAGGGAGACATGTCAGTTGCTCTTGAGCTAGATACTGAATAAAGCTCTCCAAATATAGGTGGTGGTCCAGAAAGGCATTGAGCTATGCATCTTTTAAACACTGTATCTGCCACATTGATGCAGTTTTCCAGTGGCCATCCTATATTAAAAAACTGCCCTAGGTTCATGCCTATTAAATTATATTAAGAAGATCTTTTCCTACACTATCCTTCCACAGATGAACTTTTCACAGCTCAGAGGGGGATTAATTTATCATATATCTTTAAAATCTATTTCAGGGTTTCTCGCTGGTGTTTTAAGGTATGCAGTAGAAGAATATGAAGAAGAGTTCTTGGTGCATCTCCTTGCTATACTTCTGATAAAAAGAAACTGTTTCCTAGCAGAGCCTGTCACTTTCTCCAACAAGAGAGAAAACAGAAACCAATCACCTTTTGATTTTCCTTTCCCAATTCCTCACATATCAACCATTTAATCTCTAGCGCTAAGGCATCCTTAAACATTGTCTGTACAAGCTGATTTTGTAGGATTTATTCACATCAAAATTAAACTGTATTTACCTCTTAGCAGCATCAGGACTCTTTGCTACAATTACTGCATTTCTGTAATCAGGAATCTAGAGCACATTGAAACCATGGTGAGACTTTAAAGCAGTTAAACTCTGACACAGAATGAATTAGTTTTTTTAAAATAAATAAAATTGCTCTTTTGTTACATAGGGTGACAGCTGAGAGCAATGCTATCATCATTCTCAAAACGCTGGGAGACATTTAACTAAAATTGGCTTTTAAATAGTTCTACACAGTTTTTACTTTTATTGCTGCAGGATGTTTAAGTAATTAGACCCCATCCATATATATTTATTTGACTAGCCTTAGCTCAGGGCCACACTAAAACATGAAACCATGGATTCATTAACAACCACCACAAGCAGGTAGAGGCAAAGTCAGAAGAAAATCTATGAAGAAAATTACCGCCAGTATTAACCAAGCTAATAGCAAATGCTTCCCAAAATGCTAAGCAGCTTGCACTTTTAGCAAGGAGGCTGTTAAGATACATTACTGGGATCCCCTTTAACAGCAAAGATTAGTTGCCTATAGCAAGCATAAGCAATATACAAGTCTAAAAAAGACCAGCACTAAACAGTGTTCTAATCAAGCTGAGATTATAACTATTGATGGATCAAAGTAACTTCACCTCTTCTTGTATATACTGAAGCAAGAAAGGGGAAGCCCTCAGGTTATCAACAGGAAAGCTGAAAAATCCCTGGATTTCTTTTTGATGAAGATCCATAGTGATGATGTGTGTTAAGCCTATAACAAAGAAAGAACATACGTTGCACCAGGGTGCTAACTGCCAGCCTAGGGGCCTGATGCACACCCAACCCACCCTCGCAAGACCTCACTAAACCTGACAGCAAGAGCTGGTGGGGGAAAGAAAGTAAAGTGGACATGGTGCTGAGGTGGGTGAAATGGTGTAAGCTTCTTTCCTTCCCCACCCCACTGCCCAGTGGCCTAATGCAGATGAATGGATCAGCTGAGAAGAGGGAACATGTGCAAAGTCTGTGTGCAAGCGAGGTAACCAGCTCCCTTTTGGCCACTTCCACTCTGGGGTTTAGCAAAGGTTGAATGTGACCCTCAGGGGGAAAAAAGAGGTTCGTCCATTAAACTCACTTAAGAAATGCAGTAGGGTATTAGTCACATTGAAGTACCCAGGTAACATGGGTTTAAAGCACTTCTGCTCAAAGAGGTAGTCTGCAGACCAGTGCTGGTTCACTAGTCATTGGCTGCCAGTCCATGGTGGCTCCACAACAGCCAAGGCTGGGCAGGATGCTTCAGGAACTAAATATGGCACCAGTCCCTGGCACATGGTGAGGAGGGCAGGGCTTGCGAGTCCACCACATCACATAGTTTGAGAAACACTGGTTTAAAGAATCTCATTCACAAATTTGACTCCTAACAGGTAACTGATCTCTTGGGTTTGGGTAACCCATCATGATTATTGCTACACACATTTCTGCATTATAGGTGACAGGGACCATTGAACCTTAGATGGATGTACCGGATGTTGACTTGCAATGGACTTTGGCACTGAAACAGTAGTAACACGTAGAGCAAGAACAAGACTAAAAAACCCCAACTGCTTTATGCCAATGTTTTTGTGCAATATTTAGAACAGGGCTTTTTTTTTTAAAAAAAAAAAAAGAGCCAGACAGGGTTTCATCCAAGGTTCAGTAGGCCCCAGCAACAGTCCTTCTTGTGAACTTTGTTACTTTAGTGGTCACCTTTGCTGCTTCAGCCTTCGCAAACTTATGTCTCTCAAAAAGAGGCCTGGTCTCCTACCCACAGTGAGCAAAGCCAGGAATTTTAAGGATTCCATTTCTATTTCACCCTTTGTCTAAGAAAAAACATATATGTATGTCTTTTTACCCTCTATTTTATCCTAACAAACACCCTGTGAGAAAGGTGTGGTGAAATTCACACACACTGTTTCAAGGGCACCAAAAGAGTTTCTTGTTCTATTATATAAAATCAAACTACTAGTTTGAGGGTAGCTATTTCTACTTTTTTCTGAATAGAAATCACTGTTAGTATTACAAATGCCATCCCAAATATGTGACTTGTTTTAGGATTATTTTTGGCTGTTCTTTCTGCAAAAAAAGAAATGTATTCTTATAGAAGGAAGATCTCTCTCTCTGCAAAAACAGCCACTCACTTCTTCAGGGTCAGATCTATTGTGGGAGGTAAAATCTTGCTGCTTCTGGTCAGCTCACTCACCTGCTTTGGCCAACATGGAAGCAAGGAGTTTGCAGACTATAGAGCCTCTCTTCCTCATCTTGCTTTGTTTGCTGTAGGGGAAGTAGGGAATTACCCCAATGATATTTTTGGCACAGGACGTCCTCAGTGCATAAGCCATGATTAACAGTTCCATCACCGCAGTGTTCACATCTCTGAAATTGTTCAAAAATATTAATCAGTAATCCATCTGCCAATCAAATTCTAGAAACAGCTTCTTCTAAGAAGAAAGCAATGTCAGCCAATGTGACCAGATTTTAAAAATCATTTATTTCATTTCTTAGACCACAGCAAACAAATTAATTTTTTAACCTACCCTAAAAGTTTTCAGGGGGACGCGGGTGGCGCTGTGGGTAAAAGTCTCAGCGCCTAGGGCTTGCCGATCGAAAGGTCGGCGGTTCGAATCCCCGCGGCGGGGTGCGCTCCCGTTGCTCGGTCCCAGCGCCTGCCAACCTAGCAGTTCGAAAGCACCTCCGGGTGCAAGTAGATAAATAGGGACCGCTTTCTAGCGGGAAGGTAAACGGCGTTTCCGTGTGCAGCTCTGGCTATCCAGAGCAGCGATGTCACGCTGGCCACGTGGCCCGGAAGTGTCTCCGGACAGTGCTGGCCCTCGGCCTCTTAAGTGAGATGGGCGCACAACCCCAGAGTCTGTGAAGACTGGCCCGTACGGGCAGGGGTACCTTTACCTTTACCTTAAAAGTTTTCAAAGTAGTATTCACAGAATCTCTGGGGTTTTGCAGAAACTTGCCAGGGATTTCTGAATGCAAATATCAGAAATGGTGGAGACACTGCCCAGTAAACAGCTTGTGCACCGTTACCAATCTTATTTCTTTATTCCATAAAATACAGCTAATTTTTTTTTGCAAACAACCTCAAAGCAGTTTACAAAAATGACATTATCCATAAAAACTCAGTTAAACACAACTATTTTAACGTTTAACCAAATAATTAAAATCAATGATAAGCTGAAAGCCAGAAAAAAATGCACGTCACTTGCAGAGCTTGTAGCCAGGGCTGATGCAACAACAGCTATGCAAGCCTTTGGGAGGCAAAGGCGCGAGAGGACATCAGAGGAGGGAGGGAGGGAAGGAAAGAGGGACAGAGGCCAGTGTTGCCTGTGGCACCCGTGAGCGTCATACAAGGCACCCCAGGGTGCCACGGCACACTGGTTGAAAACCACTGCACTAAAAGATCAATTCCTTCCAAATGCAGGATATTGTGGCATCTGTGGCAGTGTTAACGTTCACCATGTCAACATGTATCAAAAGTTCCTTTGCACCAGCTATAGCTTTTTCCTTTTTACATAGTGCCTGACAGACCCACTGATCACCAGTTTCAAAAAGAATGTGTGTGGGGGGGATGTTAGCAGTAGCCTTTTGCAACAGGGAGCTAAACAGTGTTGGCAGAAGGTGAAAAGGCCTAAACATGCCTAATCACTTGCTGAAGGTATTAGGGGAACTCTGGACCTGGAAGCACTTTAGGAGCACACTCTCTGAAGCACAGTGAACATTCAAGCTGCAACCCTTCTTTCATCTGCACTTGGCGTTCCACCAGATTTGGACCACAGTCTTTCCTGATCATCTGAGATGATACCCTTAGGAGTCTTTTGGCTCTCAAAGACATGTGACTGATTAAGTCTGTGTTTTAGCCAGCTGCTCTCATTTCTTCCACTGTAAGCTTTCCCTCGGAAAATTAAACCCCCATTTATCTTGACACATTTGCCAACGTTCTCCAAATTGGTTTGTTCTGCCTCCTATCTCCACCACACTGCACTGTTTATATACACAAAAAAGCTTTGTTCACCATCAAGGAAGTAGCCAAGAATTACATAAAACCACTCCATCCCCCAAGCAATTAAGACAAAAAGTTAACAGTGCACAATTTCCCCCTTCTGTGGCTTAAGGTGGCAGAGGCTAAGGAAGGACAGTCATTGTTTCCTAGGATTCTGCATTTCACAAGCTGTCAACTTATGCTTATGATTTTAAACTAAGATTCATAATGACCAAGTATGAACAACAACAGCTCCAATGCTTCAGGCACATGTACATGTTAAGGAAATAGGCCTAGGTTAAAACTGTTCAGAAGTCTCAAGGCAGGAAAAACGGGGAGTGGGAGAGAGAAAGAACACAAGGTCTTTCCAGCATCATAGATATACAGTACTTACACAAATCTAATGCACCATTGAATCTAAAGCGCGCCTCGATTTTCAAAACTTTGAAATAAAACAGTATTTGCTGGCAAATGTAAAATTGCCATCAAATCTAATGAGCACCCTAATTTTTGTGATGTAATTTGGCCCCAAAAGGTGCCCATTACATTTGAGTAAATACGGTACGTGGTAGGATACCAACTATGTTACTCCTATCTATTCTTACTCACCATTGACGTCTACTGCAGTGCTGGTTCAAGAGCCATCACCCCAGCCCCATAACGCGCCTCATCATCTGGGGCATTAAGCTCTTACCAGACAGAGAGGTTTGTGCGAACTAGAACAGAATAGTTCTTTTTTATTCTTGAAGGCTATTTCTGCACCCCAAGCTACTAACCTAGATATGTGCAGGCAAGCAAGCCACACCATATCTGGGAGGCAGGAAGGAGGAAAACTGCTTTTATAAATTGATTTGAGAAGGTGCCTTATACATATACATCAGAGATGTTGAGTCGCAGCTTTGCTGCGATTCAGACCTTCCCAACACCACAAACTTAAAACAGCACCCATGAACTGCCCTTGCTGCTCCTTGGATATTATTATTGATTAAATTTCTATCCTGCCCTTTCTCCCAAAGTTGACTAGGGCAGGTTGTCTGCATAGCAGATAAAGAGAGTGGCAGCTGATACACTCCACATGGGGAAAGGATAAAACCAAATCCCAGGCAAGATAGGATCATTTTTTGAAGCTACAGCACACAGCCAGATAGGCAGGGAACTCCTGGGCAGATATGCTGTAACTAAACAGCACTAAAGGCTATCAAGCAGACACATTACTGGCAAGAGGCGTTTTATTATAGAGTTCTGCTATAAAGATTAATCTAGTTAAAGGAGCAAGAACCTTTTAAAAAAAAAAAAGACGATCCCAAAATAGCAAGTAAATGGAAGAGTAACTAATAGAGTCTTCAGGAGAGTTTTGCAGACTGAGGCATTGCATCGTGTTTCATTTACTGTCACTTTTAAGTGCCACATTAAGGTGTCGGATTTAAAGTCCACACTGTTGGTGTAAAAGATTAACTAGCATTAATAACATCATAGGCTCTCTTGTTAATGATGGTGAATGGGTAGTAGGGATGGCAGAAGTATATTTACACATATAAATAGAAAGGAAAGACTCCAGAACAAATCCACTCAACCAGAGTTCCGACATATCCAAGGATGTGGGTTTATAAAATTCAGAATTCAATCCACACATCATCATCACCATAATTTATTATTTATACCCCGCCCATCTGGCTGAGTTTCCCCAGCCACTCTGGGCAGTTCCCAATCGAGTGTTAAAAACAATACAGCATTAAATATTAAAAACTTCCCTAAAGTACATACGCGCGCACACACACAAAACCTCACAAACCCTTACCTGGGTATTGTCTGAATAATGAACACATCCTGACCTCGAACAGATTCTTTTATTTCAACCCTTGTCTCTGTAAAGGAAGCACAGATATTTGAAAATAATCCTAGTAGTACCTACGTATAAGTAGCATGGCTGGAATGGGCCGGGTGGGTTTAAAGACTTAACAACAACAACTTTATTATGGTTGTAGACCAGCATAAAGACTTCACCAAATTAAAGTAATAAAATGCTTTCCAAGTGTGTATTTGAGATAATGGATCTTTAGAGTCTGTCTGATAGCCTGAGCCTGCCTGATGCATTGCAGTGTTTTTAAACTTTCTTTTTTCTTTTAGCCTTCCTAGGGTTCAAGTTGCATTCTAATGCATTCACAATTTAAAGCTGGCTGGAGGAATATCCGTGTTGTGATCAGTGGACAGGGGCATGCGCTTTAGATGTGGTGAGGGTGGGAAGGGATTACTAGTGCATCCAAACAGGTGGGAGGTAGCCCTGCCCTGCCAAGCCATTCCCACCACTGTCCATCAGCGCAACTTGTCCAAAACTCTTCCAAACCATTCCACCCTAAGCTCTGTCAATGGATGCCCCTCCTCATCAGCTGAAAGAACAAAGTTAATCATCCATGTTGAAAGGCAGTATACTTTTTTGGAAACCAGGTGCTGGGGACAAACAGGGAAACACTGTTGTCCTCATGCCCTGCTCATTAGCCTCCCAGAGACATTTGGTTGGCCAAAGCTGGGAACACAGTAATAGGCAAGACAGGGGCAAGGGACTTGGCCAAGGTCACAAAACTAGGTACAAGAGGTGGAATCTGAACAGAATTATCACTCCACAGTGGTACAAATGTGGTTCCAGGAGTGAAAAAATGTGTTGTGGGGGGCAATGTTTGCCACCTAGAGCTCCTTAGAGGAAAGGTGGGGTATAACAGCTGTTTTTGCAAGGGTAAAAAAAAGCGCAAAAACAGCTGTTTTTGCAAGGGTAAAAAAAAGCGCAATAAGTATAGCATCTTATTGCGTATAGCATCTAGATCAAGGGAAGTAATAGTGCCACTGTATTCTGCTCTGGTCAGACCTCACCTGGAGTACTGTGTCCAGTTCTGGGCATCACAGTTCAAGAAGGACACTGACAAACTGGAACGTGTCCAGAGGAGGGCAACCAAAATGGTCAAAGGCCTGGAAACGATGCCTTATGAGGAACGGCTAAGGGAGCTGGGCATGTTTAGCCTGGAGAAGAGGAGGTTAAGGGGTGATATGATAGCCATGTTCAAATATATAAAAGGATGTCATATAGCGGAGGGAGAAAGGTTGTTTTCTGCTGCTCCAGAGAAGTGGACACGGAGCAATGGATCCAAACTACAAGAAAGAAGATTCCACCTAAACATTAGGAAGAACTTCCTGACATTAAGAGCTGTTTGACAGTGGAATTTGCTGCCAAGGAGTGTGGTGGAGTCTCCTTCTTTGGAGGTCTTTAAGCAGAGGCTTGACAACCATATGTCAGGAGTGCTCTGATGGTGTTTCCTGCTTGGCAGGGGGTTGGACTCGATGGCCCTTGTGGTCTATTCCAACTCTATGATTCTATGATTCTATAATTCTAAGTCTTTAATACCCATATTGAATAGGTTTGTCAAAGGCTCACTCAGCCATTGACAAACAAGTCTTAGCAATTTTATTTAAGTGTTGTGGAAACAGCTAGAAAATCAAAGGGCTCATCTCTGGGTTCTGAAAATAGGAGAATAGTCATTAGGAAAATGGTCTTGAGACTTTAAAAAAGTGATAATTTGCCCCATAGGATTTTTTTTAAAGTTTTGGAATATCTATAGTCTGTTCTTCAGTAAATGCTCTAGAAGAAAAAGAAAAACCTGACTTGCCTCCATTGGTTTCCTGATATACCACAGATTTTCCGAGCTCAGCACCAAGTCGCCTAGAAAGAGAGACACACATAGAGAGAGATTCTCAACAATAGCTTACTAACATAGGAATTCTCACCATGCAGTTCTAGAACAGCAAAGCTAAACTCAGCACTAAAAGACAGGGCTCACTGACAAACTGCTGCCTGCCACAATAAAGTTTCAATCCTGCTTGTTGGTCAAAACAACACTCCTGAAGCAACTATCATTATAGTAAGAGCAAACACACATATCCAAGTGGCTTAGGATATCTACCCTGAGTTTTACAGCTAGTTTAAGTAGAATTTTAAAACTAAAGCCAGGGCTGCAGGATTCTTAAAGCAACTTTCCCATTAAAAAGAAGGGACTGAAAAGCATTTCAGTCTGCATAACCTGGTCTAACTCTTCCTAGGATACTGGATCTTACATAATTCAGGCATTAGAAATTTAACTGGGGGAAACTGAAGTAGGCCTCAGGTGGCTCAAACGTTCTAGGAACAAAGAGAGATACTAAGGTATACAGGTAGAAAATGTATTCAGTTGTCTTCTAGCTCTCCCACTAGCAGGGGAAGTTCATCAGATGGTGACATGGGATAGGATCTTATTGGTGGTGCTATCCCAATTATAGAATGCTTTCCTTCTAGAAGTACTATTAATGCCAACATTGCTGACAAGGGCAGAACTAGGTTATGATCCATCTGTTTGCTTGGGCATTTATGGGATGTTCTGTTGCTGCTATTGGTGCGCTGGAATTTTTATTCCTACTTTTTTTGTTATGTTGTAACTCTCCCTAGGATGAAGAGATGAAGGACAAGTTATATACATCTTAAATAAATTTAAAAGAACCAGCTATTAATTAGAAGTCATCACTAAGCAAATATTTTAGCAAGCACGTATGCATTATTTACAAGATAAGCAGTTACTTAATATAGTACATTTCAACTTCACAGGCTCTTTCAAGTTACACTGAAAAGCTATTTATGCTTCAAGATATAATCAAAGATTTGTTGGAACATAAACATCAAACCAAAAGCCAGTTAGCTTATTTGTTTTTGATATTTCACACAACACATTAGAAGGCTACCCCTTTAATCAGCTTTACAGTTTCTTTTTCATAGCCTTTGTGGGACATACTGATCCTAAACCTTTCTGAGATGGGGAAAAGCATGAGCACACATTTCTGAGCTTAGGACAAATCCAAAATAGAAAGTTAAGGTTCATAAGCTTTCCAGGTTGTCAGTTTTTCATTTTCAAAAAGTATAATGAGATTATTATTTTAAATATAGAATAAGAGGCTAACTAAATTATGTTTTACTTCTGTTTAAAAGGTCACAGATTTGGAGCACAGTTATCCTGAAAGTGACAACAGCAACACAGAATGAATGTCTCTTTTTTCACTCTAAGTTCTCTTGAGATGCTAACTGGACTAACCAAAGGGGTTTGCCCAACTTTGGGAGATCTCCAATGTTGTGCCAGTGAATATAACAGAATTCCTTTTCCTCACCTCCCTGCCATACCCATCTTAACAGGTGTCCACCTGCTCCACAGGGTTCCCCAACCATCCAGAGCAGATTTGGGAGGATTGGGGAGGGGGAGAAAAGGGGAAGTTCCACCGCACAAGCAGATGTCAGCTGTGCAAATGGGTTGCCATAGGATACCATCTTTTGGATTGAACTAACGCTTGATCTGCAGAAATGGGACCACAAATGCTTTCTCCAGTGATGGGTATATTTCTTATTCTGGCATTTGTGATGCCCAACAAATATTTGTTTCCCAATTTGTGCATGGCTTCAGAAGCAGAGGCTTGCCCCTGTAGTCCCTAACCCTGTAGTCACAATGACTACTTTGCCGCCAGAGGCAATATGCTTCTGAATACCAGTTGCTGGAAACCACAGAAGGAGAGAGTGTTGTTGTGCTCATGTTCTTCTTATGGGCTTCTAGTTGGCCAATGTGATAAGAGGATGCTGAACTAGATGAGCCACAGGCCTGTTCTAGTAAATCAATTATGTTAATACTGTACTGCTAAACTTCAGAGGCACTCCAAAGCAGAGACCCTCCTTACTCCTTCCAACTGTCTGCAAAATTCAGACCAACATCAGACACAAGGCAACACCCCTCTCCCAAGTCAGGGAGAGACAGGGTTGAGGCAAGAACATATTTTAGCAGTCCATCAATACCAGACCCACGAACAAAAGGGTAATTATTATTTTGTTCCAGTTTCAAATTCTCCAACCTACAGGAGATAAGGTAGTTAACAGTGTACTAAGAAGAAAAACTGTCAAGATTCCCAAATAAAATATGGCTATACCACATAAAACAGTTGAAAACTACAAACTCTCTTTAATAAAGCAACAAATGGAATCAACAAATGTGCACACATTGTTTATAATACACCATGAATGCTTACTTTACAAAAGGCTCAGTAAAACTCAATTTAAAATATTTAAATCTGATTAAATTGTCGCTTAAAGCCACAGCGTTTTAAAGTGAAACTAAAGAGTCTTAAAAATTGGGCTCACCAAAAGTAATGCTAAGCACTTGGGTGGGTCACGCATTCTTGAAGTAGGCTGAAGTGAAATATGTAAACTCAGGCATGTGGCAAAAAGCCTATTTTAGGAAATATGGCTTACTTTCCAGTTCATACACTGTTTAATTGCAACTCATGAATACAGGAGAACAAGATGCATAAAAACGTGAGACACTCACTCAGTGATTTTCTTCGCCAGCTCTGTGCAAGCTGCTGTGGAGTTTGCCGAGAAGACCCGGTAGCCACTTCTGGCTGCGTTCATTGCCAAGGAATCATACAAACCCCTTGGAGCTCGAGGGTGAGAAAACACAGATCTATAAGGTAACAGCAATTTCCTTGGCATCCTCCTCTTCAGCCTCAAGACTACCAGAGCAGGTTTGGAGGGGGGGGAGGAAAGCAGTTTACAAGCAAGATCTTCCCCAACCCAATTAATACAGCAGACCAGAATTATTACAACCACCAGAAAAGGAGTATTTCAAAGAAGTTAAGAAGCCTAACAAGTCAGATCAGTGTTACTGGTCTTTACATGTCCCCTTAAAATACTACATATAGAAGAGGAGATACTATTTGCATAAACAGGTCAAGCCCCTAAGAGCTAGCATGCAGAAAGCTTAGGTGTGAGGGTTGAAATTTAAAAGCAAAGTAAGTATGCAATGCAAAAAATGAGAGGAAGGGCAACAAGGAGTACAACAACGAAACTTGTTTACATACAAGAAGAAAGATGGGGTAGGCAGACTCGGGAAAGAGGGTTTCTCAAGACAACAGGAGTAGTGGCGGAGAGAGGGCTTGGCCACACACGCGGCCAGCACCAGAGAAAAGTTGCACTGGAAGTAGGCAGGGCAAAGTCTTCCTGGGAGATATGGGGCAGAGGAAGCAGGGAACACCTTACTTTAATATTAGCAATTAAAAAAAGAATGCCTTCCCGAGGAATGAAAGGGAATCAGAGGCGTGGAGCTACGAGACGGGAACTTTCGGAATAAGGAGAAGCGGATTTTGAAAGGGGGTGAGGGGTCGGTTGGGTGGCATATGGAAAACGATGAAGGTGCAGAAGGATCAGACCCTCTCAGGCCACCCAGAGGAGACTAGGCTGGAGTGGGCAGCTGGAAGGGACGGGGGGGGAAGGCTGGGGGGGTCTAAAAATGAGCGGGGAGGGGCTGTGAGGGTGGAAATGGAGTAAGGGGGAGAATGGGGGGGGAGAGAGATGAGGGCGGATTTAGCAGAACTGCGAGGCGGTTAAAGATGCAGGAGGAGGGCAGCTCCAGGCACCGCTGCGGCGTAGGCGCCCACACGCTCGGCTCTTTTGCAGCTACTGGTCCCTTCCTCGTCGGGACTCTTTCGGGCCCGCTCGCTCTCCAGCCCCCCAACCCAAGCGAAGAGTCAACTCCACCAGTATGCCCGGTCATAGAGACGCCGCCCTAGAGCGCCACCTTCTGCTCTCGGCGGCCATTTTGCGCAAGCAAGGCCTCTTCCCCTCTCCCGCCCGCCCGCCCGCCTGTTGAGAGAAAGATATGCAGTCCTTGCCGGTGTCACGCAGACATGTTGAGTGAGGGCAGGAGGGAAGAGCGTGCTCAATACTCACCACTTTCCCTTCAGTTCCCTCCGCTGCTTACGTGGGGATGTTTCGGTTGACTGTCTTAAAAGGGGGGGAAAGAAAAGAAATCCCACTGCCGCTTAGCTGGGAAGCGCTTCACCTCTTCTTTAAGACCGTGAAGAGTTTTCCCGAAACAAAGATGGCTGCTTCCTGGAGGGAGGGGGAGAGTTCGACCAACGGCCAAGTGGGAAGTTCTAGAATGAGTCTCCTTTCGCCTTCAAAGGAAGTGGGCGGAGCCATTGTCGAGTAGGGCCGGAGAGGTCGCGAGCAGAAAGCGACCGAGGAGGAGGAGGAGTGCAGAGAAAGGTTACGTTTCAGTCTCTGGGGCTGCAGTCCTGCGCTTACTTACGTGGGAATAAGAAGACCCACGTGGAACTTGAACTCAGTGGAACTTACGCCAGAGTATACTGTACATGCATAGATTGCGCTATAAGACTTCGAGAGAGAGGGGGAATGACTTAATAAGAAACCTGGAGGCGAGAGGGAGTTGTTCGTTTAAAGGGCAAAGAGTATAGAAGGGAAGGGTCTGCTATACCGTTTAACCGCCTTGAGTCCCATCAGGAAAAAGTCAGGGGTATAAATCAATATATAATAGTAATATTTGGAGGAAGAAGGCCAGGGCCCCTGTTAACAGAATGAGCAGGGCTGGCAAACCACATGCTGAACGTACTGCAATCTAAGGAGAAGCCCCGTTTCCTCCTTCCTGTAAAACCATTAAGCCCACAGTCTAAAATTGCTGAGCTGGACCACCATGGAGATGTTCCTTTTGCTTCCTCTTCAGTAACTCTACTTCATAGTGGGGATTACAGCTCCATGATGGTGTTTGGCTGATGTTGAACAATCTAGCACTGTTTCTGCTTTAACTTCCTCCATCACAGAGTTTCTGACTATGTAGGTAAAGAGGTACGATTTAAGTCCACTCAAAGGCGACTATGGGGTTGCGGCACTCATCTCGCTTTCAGGCCGAGGGAGCCGGCGTTTGTCTGCAGACAGCTTTCCAGGTTGTGTGGACAGCATGACTAAACCACTTCTGGTGCAACGGAACACCGTGACACAAGCCAGAGCGCATGGAAATGTCGTTTACCTTCCCGCTGCAGCAATACCTATTTATCTACTTGCCCTGCTTTGCTTTTGAACAGCTATGTTGGCAGAAGCTCGGAACACCAATGGGAGCTCACTGTGTCACGTGGATTCGAACTGCCAACCTTCCCCGATCAGCAAGCCCAAGGGGCTCAGTGGTTTAGACCACAGTGCCACCCACATTCCTGTAGTTTTTAACTACTAGGAGGGCCCCTCAAGGCCCTCACCACAACAACTGTTCAATAAAAGACCCGAACAGCAGCTTTTAATCTATTCTTTTCAGAAGGAGACTACATTGACCTTAGTCAGCTCTTAACTAATCCATGCTTGGGTGTCTCAACACAATGTCACCATCATAATAAACTGCTGCTCCAGCCTTCATTGCATTCCCAGCAATAGGATGTAACTTGAAATGGCATTAATGATTGCTCGACAAAACCAGGCAGTTTTAGTTCAGAGGCCGTTACTCTGAATTGCAAAGATAGGGTATTGTGTGTCCTGTATATTATTTCTGTACAGTGCCTAGTGCATATTTGATGCAATCTAAATAATATATGATTATGAGTATGTGCCCTAAATCAGTAATTCTATAAAGGGGCAATGCAATTCAGCCAAAAGTTAGATAAGATTACTGCTACTTTAATTGAGATGCTGCTTCCTTCTAGACAAAAAATACAAATAAGGTCATTAATGGGTGTAGTTTTAGTATAATGGGATCTTTGTAATATTGCTTTGCAAATGGCAATTTAAACATAAGTCTCTGAGATTTGTCAGCATGTAATCATAATTTATACATGGGACATTTTAACATTTATTTACATCTTAAGTAGCATTCCATTATCTAACGCTTTAAAGAGCTAGCAAACAAAGAATACCCAAAGGGTCAGCCATAAACCAAAAAACCATAATGTAAGAGCACACGGATAGTGGGAACTGGCTTGAAAGCCACCAGATTTATTTTCCCCTTCCCAAAATTAGACAACAAGATCTCACTTAGTGAGAACAATGTTTGAATGCTACATGATAGGCAGGACAGAGGTCATCCTAAAGTCTTATGTTTTACCATTGTTTCAAGCAAAAGTGATTACATATCAGACCTGATATATTTCCACTTAACCCCAAATAAAAAGCATTTAAAAATCAAACACTATAATGTCTATTGTTGTAAATGTCTGATGCATCTGGGAAATCAAGTACAAACTATTCATTTCATTTCATTGCCTGCTTGCTACTTGTTTACTGATGGCACATGTCCTGAAATTTAGCCCATGGAATCTTTCCGTGCATACTGTTTCTTGGTGTGTAAAATAACCCAGAGTTATCAGATAATGTCTCCTTAATCTGTCTTCTTGGGCATGTTGGAATTGAGGGCAATGAGTTGGCTAGCCAGGACAGCAATCCACTTTAGTGTTAGGCACACAGGAATCCTATTTAGCTATTTTATCCCATCTTCAAATCTCAACAGGGGTAAATGGCAAGAGCTGTTGGAAAGCCTGTGTAATACAGTATTCTGTTCATCATCAAATGCATCCATGGAGACCTGCAGGTAGGAAATTGTCCTGGCTCAGCCAAGAATTTGATCCAGAGTCAATAACCAGTATCTTCTGTAGGAAAGGCCTCACCAGTATGTATATCTTGTGTTACCATTACTTTGTAGCATGTTGTGCAAGTCCATTAAATGCTTGCCAGATGCTTCAGGAAGCTTCATTTCTAGTGGAAAGTATCGCCTGTATTTTCTCTCTGCTTTTATGAGGCCAGGCTTAACCTGGCAACAGTTTTACTGAATAACACTGAGAACTTGGATGTAGCCAACATTTAAATTTCTCAGCACCCTTGGCCTACCCTATGTGTTGTATACTGTATTACCATGCTGTTCACCATCCTGGGCTCATTTTGAAGAAAGGGTGGTATATAAACATATAAATAAATAATTGTCAGGATTGTGGGAAATGTAAATGGTAGATAGACCCACTAGCTTGGGACAGTTGAATGCTGGGTCAATTTATTTTTTTTAAGGATAGTTCAGCTATTCCAGGTGCTGACACTGGCCCTGTTTCTGAACAAATAAAGTGTATACATTAACTGAATGACAACCTAGAGATAGCTGTATGAAACACATCTAACACCCGTTGTACCATTTTCCTACCATGCTTTATTACAGTTATGTTCTGTTGAATTTTACTTCTATGCTGCCTTTTGGCCAAAAAAGGACTCCCAGCTGGCTTGCAAAGGAATAATACAAAGGATAATTCAAGCCAAAAGAAATACAGCTAACATTTCAAAAGAATCTAAAACCCATTCATGTTTGTGCCAGAAGGCAAAGATGTCAGAGAGAGCAGGAACAGTTCTTCCTTCTAAGGATCAGGGGTCAGGGAGGTGAGGCAGGGTCTGCCTCTTGATGGTTCCAGCAAAGTTGCTCTCCAGGAGCAAAGCAATCTGTCATTAAATAACTAAAAACACTAATGGACTGTTTGAATTCTTCTTATTTTTCAAATTCTAAGAAAATGTGCTCTCTCTATACTCATGCAATACAACATTTTTTCTATAAACCTAAATATGAGTTTAAATTAATAAAGCAGGGTCAACCATTTTACTTTCCTTTAATTGCATATCATAGTCATTTGACAAGTTGTATTTGCAGTGGGACGGCCAAAGCAAGGTCTGGTGCTTTTTCTGTCTTTAAGTACTGTATTTAAATAAAATATGTCAAAGGGGGGGGGGGATGTTGCATAGACTGTAATGGAACTAAGGCGTAACGTTACTATTCATATTATTGCTGGAATTCAGTGTTGTATTAAGGTGTTCAATCCGTCGGTGCAAGCATTTCAGCTTGCCCAATGGAACTATATTCCTTCCATGTCCTCTCCTGGGGGTTCTCCCGACCCCCACAGAACCAATTTGAGGGACACAGGGGAGGACTTGTGCTGGCTCCTGCTAGCACAACTATAATACAGCCCGTTATTATTAAATGTCTTTAAACTTTTTAACAGACAGAGCCAGGAAACATTTTCTTTTCTCTCTCTCTTTTTTAAAGACATTAAATATTCATTTCTGAAAAATTAAAAGGACACCACAAAAGAATCCAAAAGAGAATGAGAACATACCTTTTATCCAAATTGTGGGGAATCAACTCTTTATCTCTTGCAAAGCCACTTCTGATCACAACTTAAGAAAGCTAGGCAAATGCCATTAATATGTAGCCTAAATCTGTGACAGAAATCATAGATAGAGCCACTGCATACTTGACGATTCTTGCTTCATAAAAGCACAGAGAAGAGAATGTGGACCAGTAAATTAGAAAAGCAATGCATAACATGAAGGCTATGAAAATTTATTGACTGGAAATGCAGTACATTGAGAATTCAGAGTTACATTTTATTTTAAAGCATATTTTGTGGCCTGGTTTTAGAAAAAGGACGTAAAGTTGTCAGATCATTTGAACAAGTAGATCACTGATACAGACCCCCTTCGTTTTTTATTTGCTCCTCATTGCACTGTCTTACAGAGTTATCCGAATGCTCACAACTGAGGCTTCTTTTAAGTCCAGCATTTATGAATACTTGTATGGTCTTAACTTGTTTGATGTCCTGATTCTTCTGACCTGAAAATGACTCTTAAGCCATAATAAGATTACATGGTGAAACTAGAGCAAAAAAATTACTGGCATCAGATCTGAGGCACCACTGAGAAAGAATAGTCAGTCAAAAAAGTAGAAAAGCCTCCTTAATGCCAATTAATAAGCTGAGTGAAGGAGAAAATACTGCAGAAGTAAATTATGAAGTCAGAATTCTCCAGCGCGTACACTTAATTAAAGTTACTTTGGGGGGAAAGAATGAAGTGTATAGTTAAACTAGGAAGCTGCCTCCCACAGGCGGCGGTGATAGCCACCAACTTGGATGGTTTTAAAAGAGGGTTAGGCAAATCCTTGGGGATGGTTTTAAAAGAGGGTTAGGCAAATCCTTGGGGACGCGGGTGGCGCTGTGGGTAAAAGCCTCAGCGCCTAAGGCTTGCCGATCGAAAGGTCGGCGGTTCGAATCCCCGCGGCGGGGTGCGCTCCCGTCGTTCGGTCCCAGCGCCTGCCAACCTAGCAGTTCGAAAGCACCCCTGGGTGCAAGTAGATAAATAGGGACCGCTTACAAGTGGGAAGGTAAACGGCGTTCCGTGTGCAGCTCTGGCTCGCCAGATGCAGCTTTGTCACGCTGGCCACGTGACCTGGGAGTGTCTCCGGACAGCGCTGGCCCCCGGCCTCTTGAGTGAGATGGGCGCACAAACCCTAGAGTCTGGCAAGACTGGCCCGTACGGGCAGGGGTACCTTTACCTTTACTAGGCCAGGGGTCTGCAACCTTTAAGACAAAAAGAGCCACTTGGACCCGTTTCCGAAAAAACAACAACAACTGGGAGCCGCAAAAACATTGCAACATTTAAAACAAATATAACACTGCATATATTGTTTCTTGCCTTAATGCTATATATACAGGATCGTGCAGTCAGCTGTCAATCTCAAGAAAAAAGGACAAATTAATAGCTAATTAAAATATTTAATTTACAACCAGGTAACCAGGTTAATGGGACTTTTGCTCCTGAACCTCAGGGCTCAGTGTCTGCACATCAGGGCTGTAAGACGTAACCTTCATTTTCACACAGGCTTGCAAGGTGTCATCTGTGAGGCATGATCGGTGTTTGTTTTTAATATAGTTCATGTTGGAGAAGACCTGCTCACATACATATGTGGAAGAGACCACAAGGGCCATCGAGTCCAACCCCCTGCCAAGCAGGAAACACCATCAGAGCACTCCTGAGATATGGTTGTCAAGCCTCTGCTTAAAGACCTCCAAAGTAGGAGACTCCACCACACTCCTTGGCAGCAATTCACCAAACTTTCACCTAACTTTCCCCTGCTTAAGTTTAAAAAGGGGCTTCAGGCAACTAACTCCACGTGGAATTCCACGCAACCGCGACTGCATAATCAATGCCACAAAATGCCAAAGAAAATTAACCAGGGCCCCAGTGAACCATACATAGTGATAATAAAAAGCTATTTAGGCCTTTCTCACCCCCTGTTGGGTGTGGGTGCATTTTCTGCAGACCAAAAGCCAAAAGTCTAGATAGCGCGGCCCTCAGCCTCCAGCTGGCTGCCAGGCAGGTGCACCCTTGGCGACGCGCAGGTAACTTGCCGCCGCTCCTGGAAGCTCCGCTGCGCGCCACCTCCCTCCAGCCAGGTGACTCCGCCGCCCGCCGGTCCATCCATCCACCGGCCCCTTCCGCGCGCCAGCAGCTTTCTCTCCTTTTGCGCGCCCGCCACTCCCTTCCGCGCGCGGGGACTCCATTCCGGGGGCTGCCTGCAGCCGCGTACGTGAGGCAGCCTGTGCCGGGGACAGCCGAGGGGAGGGGACTGGGGGAGGAGGAGGAGGAGGCGGCGGCGAGGGCGGAGGGAGCGGGCGAGCCGTGGCGGAGCTGGAAGGGGAATTTCAAAACAAGCTGCACGAGGGAAGGAGGGAGCCGAGCTGGCAGGCGAGGCGGAGCGCGCGCGGAGCTGGCAAGCCGGGGAGGGGGCGCCCGTCGGGGGCTGGCGGCGCGGGCGTGGGGATTGATGCTGGAGGGGCGCCCGAGATTATTGGGGGGGCGGAGCCCCCCCAAACGAATTTTTGAGGGGGCTCGGGCCCCCTCAGGCCCCATGGAGTCTGCGCCTATGCCTCCGCTCCTTGCCTCCGCCACTCGCCTCCTCCCCTCGCCACCGCCCCGGAGCCGCAGCAAAGGCTTTAAAGAGCCGCATGCGGCTCTGGAGCCGCAGGTTGCCAACCCCGTACTAGGCAAATCCTTGGAGGAGAGAGCGCTATTGATGGTTACTAAACATAATCCCTATGCTTTGCCTCCACAGCTGGAGGCAACAATGCTTTTGAATATCAATTGGTAGGAGCCACTTGTGCTGGAGTCCCCGCCTGCTGGTTTCTCCCTGTTTCAGCCCCTGTGAGAATAGGATGCAGGACTAGATGGGCCATTGACCTGTTCTAGCATGCTCTTGTTATGTTCTTATGAAGTGGTATTATCTTAGCTTTCAAATATGGAGTTTCAGAAGGACTCACTGCTGCAGGGCCATAGATACAGGCTCAGCACCTCCTGCTCTCTTAAGTACAATGGTACTTTGGGTTACAGATGCTTCAGGTTACAGACTCCGCTAACCCAGAAATAGTACCTTGAGTTAAGAATTTTGCTTCAGGATGAGAACAGAAATGGCACGGCGGCAGCGCAGAGGCAGTGGGAAGCCCCATTAGCTAAAGTGGTACCTCAGGTTAAGAACAGTTTCAGGACCTCCAGAACAAATTAAGTTCTTAACCCGAGGTACCACTGTACTGTCATTTCCCTGAAGGTGGCAGCTTAAACCGATCTTTTCAAAGGAAAAAGTCATCAACAATGCTTGAGATGTTTAAAAGGATCCCTTCAAAGCTAAATTTCAAGTGCAAAATTTGAGCGTCTGAAATTCACAAAGTTCAATCTGACTTGTGAAACGACTGATTTTATTTTTTTTAATGATGCCTCATTTCTGCTGTGCTGCTTATCAAAGTATGGTCGCAATACTGCAAGTTTATGAACTTTGGAGACAGGTTCCTTTTGTAAATATGGAACAAAGAACTTTGTTATTTTCTTGGGAATACCATTGTGTTGCCTGAGGAAGGAAAGAAAGAACAGGATGCCAAATGTAGAAAGACCTTGGTACCAAATGCCATGACAAATGGGAAACCAAGATCCATAGAGAAATTATGTCTAAAACCAGTTACTAGCTGCAAGCAATAAGATGGATGGCTTGTCCTGGATCTGCTCCTGTCAAGAGAAGGTCCCCCTGATCCTTTCTTTAATATGCTACTGAGGGTGAAAAAGCATTCTATGTACATTTTGAACTTTAGTCCATAGTAGGAACTTATCATTTATCTTAGGTGGTGTACGTGTTTTCTATTTCGTCCTCACAAAAGCACTGCTAAGTAGAATAAGCTAAGCAATAGTGCCTGGCCCCAAGTCCACCTAGTGACCATGATGTCTGAACAGGGATATATGCCTAGCTCTCATGGTTTAAGGGATTGCCCACACTTCCACTTGCCCTGTGCCGAGAAACCATCTCAATTGGCTGGGAAAGCCACAGCACCATGGCAAAAGTTTGTTTCCGTTACAGGAAAGTGTGATCAGATGCCTGGTTATTCTGTTGTGTTTCTTTGAATGATGCCACCTGCTGGACTCCAAGTATAAACGCTGCTTCACTGAGATGTGTTTTACGCTCTAATTTTACATCCTTTTAAGAAGACAGTTGTGTCGAGCAATTTTATGAAGTCCTGCCTCTCTTTTTAAAAATGCATTAAAAGGAAATGTTATGGCAGCTGGGAAATCACCCATGCTGACCCCTCACAGGGGCATCTAAAGTCTTGTGTAGGGACAGATTATTGCAGGGGAAGGGACCAAATATAGCACAGAATAGGAGAGGCAGGAAACTACTACCAAAGGGGGCCCTAATGACAGTTTTGCAGCATCAAGTGGCTGATATTGGAATTTATGAATATTCTAAATGGAATTCTATATATTCTAAATGCATTATAAGCTTACAAAATGTTAAGGTTAAGTGACTGAGTCATTAATGTGATCTGATGCATATTGTGCAAATCCAGTCATTGGTAATAGACAAAGACAAAGGTCTGAGCGATTTTCTAGGCATGGATCTGAGCAGTTTTGCCTTTGCACTTTCCTCTGGAAAACCCACTCTTTAGTGCTAAATTGGAACAAACAGCAATCTGCAGAAAACCCGATTGCTGTTTTTTCCAATTTGGCATTAAACTGTAGGTTTCCCTGCGCTAAGCAACAGGACAAGCAGAGGTGTGGATAAGCCCTAAAAAAATTTATGAGTTTGTGGGGCCTGAGACACCCTAAATTCCTGGGTCCAATAAAAGTTAGAATTAACCAAGGTTTGGGGAGTTAAACTGTGTCAAGCACTGAACCACCGGATTCAGGGCTTATGCTAAAAATACAAGCCAGGCTACCCTGGTGATCACAGAATATGAGTCGTTAGGAAAATAAATTCTGAGAATGGCTGAGTTGTTACGCAAGCAAAGAGGCAGGGAGATGGGCGATTAACAAAATAGCTACTCTGTGCTGGACAGCTGAGGGGTGTGAGCCCCTCCTTCCTGTATAGAGGTAGTCAGCATGAGATAAAAGTCCAGAATATTTAGGATGGTGGTTGGCAGTGATGTGCTGGCAAGAAAACTGTGACAAGCTGTAAAAAGGAGACAGAGAGCATGACTGATTTCTGTTTTAGATCCATGGGAGAAGCAAGAGACCCTCTTGGAGTGCAATACTGGGAATGTCTCCATTGTAGGCTCAAGTTGTATATATGTGTAAATAAACCATATATCATAAAGACACCACAGTCTCCGCTTTGCCTCATTTCCAAAGGAAGTTATTTTGCAGAATAGGCTAAAAACACACACCTATAGGCTTTTTGGGTCTTTGCTGCTTTGATTCCTACTGATAAGCAGTTAAATTATCCAGGTTCAGAAGTTGCATTGAAAATATTGTTTACCAGTACCAGTTTACCAGAGCCAGTGTGGTGTAGTGGTTAAGAGCGGTAGTCACGTAATCTGGGTAACCGGGTTCGCGTCTCCGCTCCTCCACATGCAGCTGCTGGGTGACCTTGGGCCAGTCATACTTCTCTGAAGTCTCTCAGTCCCACTCACCTCACAGAGTGTTTGTTGTGGGGGAGGAAGGGAAAGGAGAATGTTAGCCGCTTTGAGACTCCTTAAAGGGAGTGAAAGGCGGGATATCAAATCCAAACTCTTCTTCTTCTTATGAGAAGACTCTGCTAATTCACTTCGATGGGATCAATATAACACAATATGGCATTTAATGCAGAATCTAGCTGATGTAAGAGGGAGCTTACAATCTAGGATTTTGTTTAAAGCATGGTTCTGTCCTCCAAGGATTCTGAGGGCAGGGGGAATATGAAGACATGTTGGTAGGTCTTGAATGGAAGCAGAGAGAATTCTGAGATCAAGGGATTGGACTGAAACAATTTTCAGACCCTCACCCTTGAAGCAGGTCAACTAGGTGAATTTATACAAATGTTAAATTTGCATAATCTCCAATCACAGAGTGGGGATTTTGCAATTACAGGGTTTAGACTTGAGTGGATTTTCAGCAAAGAATTCCAGAGCCTCTCCTCTTAAGTTGTGTCACATGGCTTACTTAAAAGAAATGCCCCTTTTCATCCTTTTCTCCATATTTTTTGGGAGGTGTGACATTCATGCATGAACTGCCTGATCTGAGGGATTCATTCCATCCCTGTTATTCCTTCATGTGTTTATTTATTCCACAGTGGCATGAAAATCTCAACTCCTTGTAGCTGCTGATCTGTTTTAGAGGGTTTGTTAAATAAAAAAATAAACCCTATATCATTTTTTTTAAAAAAAAAGATGATGGGATCAGCTGCCCAGATTTGCCAGCTGCCTTGAAGGAGGAAACCACATGTTTAATAACTTGTTCTAATGCAGCCAGGCATCCCACACTGATTGGAGCTTTAGGGCAACAAGCAATGATAACCCTTGTAGCCAGCACGAATTGCTGTGCTCTCAGCTTGTCAGCTCACAGCAGTTGCCTTCGCATCTAGATCCTTCGGCATTTTGAACAGAGAAGCTTCTGTGCCCGCATGCTACAATAGCTGCAAATGCTCTTATTAAAATATCCTAGTGTTATTTCACCATGTACCAGAGCCCTCTCTTCTTGCTTTCCTTGTGCGTAAGATGCTGTAATTAAATAATCCTTGTAACTTGACATTTCTGATCTTCCAATAAAAAATGGGAGAGAAAGTTATTTATAGGACCACAAATGGTAAACAAGACTAGAAAGATTTTAGGCATGGCCTCTTTTGAACATCTGCCTTCTTCCAGATGCGCACAAGATCACATCCTGTTGAAAGATGCAACAGCCCCATATTTTTTCAGTTCCATTAAGCTCTGTTCTTTATCAGCACTGCAGGCAATTTCATTCTCACGTGACATCTTAATGCCCAGCTAGCTACCTCAACTTGCAGGCATCTTCCTCAAGGGGGCAGCAGCTCTCTCCAAAATAAGGCTGTGTATATGTTGCCAGCATAAAATGCAGGAAGGTCATTCTTTTTCTCAATTTGGATGGAAGCTAATGGGGGGGACGGGGGACGCACATCAAAATGGAATATTTATTAAGAAACAACAGGATAGATATGGATTCTGGCTTATGCCATGTGTACAGTGGTACCTCGGGTTAAGAACTTAATTTGTTCCGGAGGTCCGTTCTTAACCTGAAACTGTTCTTAACCTGAGGTACCACTTTAGCTAATGGGGCTTCCCACTGCCGCTAGCGTGCGATTTCTGTTCTCATCCTGAACATCCTAAAGTTCTTACCTGAGGTACTATTTCAGGGTTAGCGGAGTCTGTAACCTGAAGCGTCTGTAACCCGAGGTACCACTGTGCACTGTTTCCCAGACAAGTGGTGGGAACACACTGGATGCAGAGTAAATGTGCGTGTGTAAACAGCTGGGGTACTAAATCAAGATGGGAATTGCTATTTTGGGGGAATGACTCAAGTGCATACCGGAATTTTAGGTTTGCAAACTTAAAGTGGGTGAAACACTCTTATCACCTTAGTGTTTTAAAAATTTACTTTAAAAATGCACTTTCTGTGCTTAGGGAAGTGACAGTTGTGCACTGAAAAGTGTGTTATGCAAGCAAATCAGGATGAATGGCTCAATAAGATTATGTTGTTGTATAACCTCCCTA